TTTTTGCACTACAAATAAAATATGTGCTGTGTGCTTAGGAATCCATTCATGTTTTTTCAAATTATAATCCGGTCCTCCAACAGTTTGAGGGACTGTGACCTGGCCCTCTGTTTGAAAGGTTTGAGGACCCCTGCTCTAAGATCATAAAGGAGCTGATGCAAATACAGCCAATTCAATGGAAAGCATACAGAACAATAAAGATTTCATCAAGGTGGCCAATTGCAACATTCACACCTCCCTCCAACAGACAAGAGTTCTTTCTCCCACCCTGGACCTCATTCCACAGACATATAAACCCCGTTTTACTAGTTCACAACAGACCTCACAACATCTGAGGATGCCTGCCATAGATGCAGGCGAAACGTCAGGAGATAATGCTTCTGGAACATGGCCCTATAGCCCGAAAGACTTACAGCAGCCCATCAAGGCCTTGTTTGTGCCTGGTTCCTCCCCCCACCTGGACCCCCTCCGGAGATGGGAGATCCTTTGTGTTTCCAAACAAGGCCTTTCCTGCTTTCTCCATTAAGCTGGGTGAGTTCCCCTCTTAGCAGGACATAGAAAGAGTTTCACAAGCACCAACATGTTCTATTTTTAAGATTTTCCTGGATGTTTATTTCAGCAGAACTTAGTACGTTTTTATTTATTTATTTACTTATTTATTTAGAATTTTTATATACCAGTCTTCTCAACCTCCGCAGAGGGACTCAGTCCAGTTCGCAACAAAGATTCATAAACAGTAGTTTAAAACATCACATCACATTAATATGAAACATATATGCTTGAACCCCAACTAGTTTACAACTATGGGCACACTCTGGATGATATTTACAGAGAAAACCAGAGAGATAGATATTCCCAAGGCTTGGAGCAAAACTTCTTTGGTCAGGATTTTTTTTCTTTTGACGTGTCAGGAGTGACTTGAGAAAATGCAAGTCACTCCTGATGTGAGAGAATTGGCCATCTGCAAGGGCGTTGCCCAGGGGACGCCCAGATGATTTTGATGTTTTTATCATCCTTGTGGGAGGCTTCTCTCATGTCCCCGCATGAGGAGCTGGAGCTGAAAGAGGGAACTCATCCGCCTCTCCCCGGATTCAAACCTGCGACCTGTCGGTCTTCAGTCCTGCCGGCACAGGGGTTTAACCCACTGCGCCACTGGGGGCTCCAAGCACCATCAACATATGACACAGAGCACAGACGGTGTTCAGCTAGAATAGCTGCTAAAATCGCTGAGCTAATTGGGAGATGCCCTAGCATCTCCTGTGTGGGGAATTCAGGGCTATAAATCAGAAGCAGGAGCAGTCACGTTGGGTCTGTGTGTTGGGTTTGCTCTAGCTCAGCGCTTCTCAACCTGGGGGTCGGGACCCCCAGCGGGGTCGCCGAGCCATTTTCTGGGGGTCGCGAAGGCTCCTCGGTTGGCCCCGCCCCTTCTGCCTCCCCAAAATGGCTGCCGGCCATTGGTTGGCTCCTCCTCCTCCTCTTCCCACAAGGCTGCAGGGAGTCAGGAGGAGGAGCTTGGAGGCAAAGGCGCGCGGGGGAGAAAGCACGCCGCCCAGCTATTGCCTCTGCCGAGCTCAGAAGGCTTCTACTCGAGTGAGAAGGGCTTCTTTCAGCCCCACGCCTTCCT